AGTCCCAGGCTGCTCTTGGCTGGGGAGGGTGGAGGAGGGCAAGCTGGCTTCACCTCCATGCCTCTGGTGCCCCACCACCACCCTGACAGCACTTGTGAACCCATTACTGAAAACTGCTGATGTAGCTGACAAGTTAGACTCTGACCCTCAGCTGAGGCCCACATCCCTTTTTCAGCAAACAACAGAAGTTCTCACACTTTCATTTTTAAATCTTCAATCTCCAGGCCAGACTCTGAAAAAGTGGATTTGTCCCAAGCTTGCAACTGAAAGTCAAATTTCTCATTCATAGCAATTCAGCACCATCACCAGATCGTTAAAAAGCAAGATGTAATTGTATCCCACTCAGCCCTGGTGTACACTAGGGCGTTATTTCGAAATAACCCCCTTTATGTCAAATTTAAGAGCATCCACACTTCCAAGCAATTATTTCTAAATAACTGATCCATTATTTCGAACTCCGTACTCCTGCTTTCCTCAGGGACACTCTGGTGCTGCTATTTTGAAATAACGATTCCCCAGAGTAATTCAAACTAATTACTCCCCAAGCTTCCTGGGGCTCTAAGTTGAGATAGCTCATCCATGTTAACGGAGCCTGCTTTGGATTAATTTTGAGGCTTCCCTCGTAGTGGGAACGTGCTATTTCAATTGTGTAAAATTGGGAGTTAAGTCAAATTTAGTTATTTAAAAATAATTTCCTAGAGTAGACACATCTTCAGTGACTCCTGCACCTCCAGCTCCTAACTCACCTTCCATGGCACTGTTTGGAGAGCTCCTCTCTCTTACTGACTCTTCAAACTCAAATCCTATGCCAGTGTGATCCTCAAACCTGCCTCACTAAATCCAGTGAGCAGTGATCCAAACTTTGGCAGGAAGATCTGCTCTCGCTGTGCAAGCAGGTCCCCAGCCTGCTCCCCTTGAAATGACACCCAGCTGAGCTGGCTAATTGCACTTCATACCTTGAGGCAGAAAGCCTTCTTAGCAACCCATCGCCGGGTCATTCTCCTGCAATAGGGTGGCGGTAACATGTACTCGATACCCAGCACCTTGCACGTGCGCTCAAAGATGTCATACCGGGTGCGGCGCAGGTACTTGAGCAATTTCTTCCGCTGATCTATGGCCATCAGCATGACACGCCGGTTTCTTTTGTCCTGCACAGGATTCAATATGCGTTAGTTGCAATCAGACTGTAACTCCATCCCAGCCAGTAATTCACAATGGTTCTACTTATTGCTGATGGGGAGAGTTAAGAGTAACATTTTAAGAACAGTTTTCTTTAGAATATATAATGGGCACTAGGGATATTAAAATGGGGTTAATTTACTAATTGAGTAGTCAACAGAATTTTTTTATCGACCGCTTGATTAGTCGATAGGGGAAGGCAGCCTGGTTCGTGCCAGGTCTGGAACCAAACCTTGCTGTGGCACTGCAATTTAAAATGTAGGAGGAGCTGGGGGGCAGGTTTGGTCCCAGACCGAGCCAGGCTGCCTGCCCAGGTGAAGTAGAATCATAGAATACTAGAACAGGACGGGATCTTGAGAGATCAAGTCCAGTCCCCTTCCCTCACGGCGGAACCAAGCACCATCTAGAACAGGGCTACTCAACTTTGGAAGCCCCCGCAGGCCACAATGATACTCACAGCATATGCTGAGGGCTGTAGCTTAAGTGTGATTGCATATACATGTAAATATATATATGCAAATGGCTTATTTCACACTGACGGGCATGAATACAAGGATTAAGGCAAGTCTACAACATGTAGGCTCCATTTAAGTCAGTTCCGCTGATATTAATAAAATGCAATATTTACCCGATTTCCACCCATATGACAGCACTTTTAATGAGCATTGACAGTCCAGAATTTAACTACTAAAACGTATCTCAACAGAACACCAATATATTGACTTGCCGTTGTGGAGTATGTTCCCAGTGGAAGCCATGTTCAAAGGATCCCACCTGTGGGCTGTGGGCCACAAACAAATGGGTCGCATGTTGAGTAGCCCTGGTCTAGAACCATGCCTGATAGAGGTCCGTCCAACCTGCTCTTAAGATTCCACAACCTCCCTGGGCAATTTATTCCAGTGTTTGACCACCCTGATAGTTAGGAACTTTTTCCTAATGACCAACCTAAACCTCCCTTGCTGCAGTTTAAGCCCATTGCTTCTTGTCCTACCCTCACAGGCCAAGGGGAACAATTTTTCTCCCTCTTCCTGACACCCTTTTAGATACTTGAAAACCGCTATCATGTCCCCTCTCAGTTTACTCTTTTCCAAACTAAAAAAGCCCAATCCCTTCACTCTTCCCTCATAGGTCATGTTTTTTAGATCTATAATTATTATTGTTGCTCTTCTCTGGACCCTCTCCAATTTCTCCACAACATTTTTGTGTCCAGAACTGGACACAATACTCCAATTGAGGCCGAATCAGTGCAGACTAGAGTGGAAGAATGACTTTGTGTGTCTTGCTCATAACACTCCTGTTAGTGCATCCCAGAATCATGTTTGCTTTTTTTGCAGCAGTGTCACTCTGTTGACTCATATTTAGCTTGTGGCCCACTATGACCACTGGATCCCTTTCTGCAGTATTCCTTCCTAGGCGGTCGCTTCCCATTCTGTATGTGTTAAACTGATTGTTTCTTCCTAAGTGGAGCACTTTGCATTTGTCCTGATTAAACTGCATCCTATTTACCTCAGATCATTTCTCCAGTTTGTCCAGATAATTTTGTATTACAACCCTATTCTCCAAAGAAGTTGCAACCCCTCCCAGCTTGGTATCATCTGCAAACTTAATAAGTGTACTCTCTATGCCATCATCTAAATTGTTGATGAAGATATTGAATAGAACCATTCCCAAAACAAACCCCACTTATGTCCTTCCAGCATGATTGTGAACCGTTAATAACTACTCTCTGAGAATGGTTATCCAGCCAGTTATGCACCCACCTTATAGTAGCCCCATCTAAGTTGTATTTGCCTAGTTTATTGATAAGAAGGTCACGTGAGACCATATCAAATGCCTTATTAAAGTCTACGTATACCACATCCACCGCTTCCCCCTTATCCACAAGGTAAGAAGTAGCCCATGTCTGCAGTGGCCCAGGGTCGAGGCTGCTCTGGCAGCGACCCTTCCCCTGCTATCTCGTGCTACTGCATCTCGTAGGTTGGGGTGAGGGAAGCAGCACCACAGAGACGATGCTGGGGGGAACCAGCTTCTGACACAGAGGCAGCAACGGGGGGTGCGAGTAGCCTAGGCGTATCATTTAGTCAAGTAGTCACTTACATCCCTAACTGGCACCTCAGATTCTTATAAGAAAATATGAAAAATTTAATCAATTCATATATTCCCTTTTTCTACTTGTGACGTAGTGGGGGTACTTGCTGGGCTGTGGTGACCCCTGCTGTCTGGAGCAAGACCCAGCAGGGAAAACCTCGCTAGGCAGAGGTAAGGCCAAACTGGTTGAACCAGTGGCCAGACACCCCCCATGGAGAGGAACAAAGGAAGGTGGAATGCGGCCCTGACTGGGGGGGCAGGGCTGCAAGGGAATTGAGTTAGTTACTGTGGGAGAGCATGGAGGAGAGCCTAGGAGAAGGGGCTGGAGTTTAGGGGCCCAGTCTCCCCCATCTCAAGGGGGCCTGAGGCATCCTAGCCCAGCTCTGGGACCAGACTACATCTGTGCTGTGCTGTATCCTGGAGAGGCAATAAACTTCCTCTATTCCACCGGCTGGTGAAGTCTGTTTGTGCCATTTCGGGGTGCAGGAGACGGGGAACCCCAGCGCGCCGTCACACTACTCAATTTCATTCTCATGTTCCTTTGCCCTAGCATAAGCTGCAATGGCCAGGAGCCAAAGATGAAAGGGGAAGTCTGATTGGCTAAAAGCTCTGCTTCCACTGATATGTATTGTTCCAAGAATCCTACAGAAAGCATTTAGCTGTGTTTTCACCGAGGCTAAATTTGGGACCTGTTCAACCTGATAGGCTCTATTTGGTTCATCATTGGCAAAAGAGTTTAGATAGGCGGTGGACAGTTCAACCATGCTATTAGGGGAATTGCCAGCTTCAGGGCATAAACACCGCCTGTAGGAGTCAGACGCAATCCCTTCCCGACACCCTATGCACAATTCTTGCTCTTTTAGCCAACTGCATTTCAAGGGTTTCTGTTTTTTGCTGAAAGAGAAGGTATAAGTGCTGGTATAGGCTGGAGACTGGAATAGCTGGACCCCAGTCCAGTAATAACAACCCCGACCTTATGTACACTACAAAATTAAGTTGATCTGATTTAGGATGGCAATCACAGTAGTTACATTACTGGGGTGTATCAACACTTTGCTCCTCATGTCAGTATTGTGTGCCCTCATCAAGAGCACTTGTATTGGACTGTCAGTATGGGTGAACTGTGGGATGGCTCCTGAAAGCCTGTAACAGTAACACAAGCAATGCAGTGTCTACTCTGACACTGCATCAACCTAACTACATCAACCATGACTCCGCACCACTCTTAGAGATGAAGTTATTAAATCAGTGTAAGGTGGCAGTCACGTTGTTGGGAGGAAAACTGAAGAGTAGACACTTTTATAACTGTTGACAAACTGCTTTGCATCGACCTAACTCTGTAGCGTAGATGAGACCTTAAAGATTTTAATTCCAAAACCGTAAGGATAAATGGTGAACAATTTTAATGTAAGAAACTGAAGCACAATGTCGGGGCATATCGTGTTACTACATTTCCAAGCTGGTACAACTTCATCAAGTTAAGGGCATCTTGTCCACAAACTCATTTTTGCTGATGCTCAAAGTTTGGACTTTAAACCTAGGAGTCTTGAAACAGCAGAACTAGATTTTAAGTCATCGTGGCACTGAAATAAATCCTGTCTGGTAAAAGTGTTTGATAACCAGAAGTGAATGGATTTCTAGCAGATATATATATATAAATATAAAATGTTAAATAATGAACATTTGAAAAGCCTATCTGTACTAGGAATGTTAGATACTGTGTAATTGAATAATTATGTAACTGTACTAAATATGATTGGTTACACAATTATTCAATAGACCCTGGGGGGAGGCCAGCAGCCAGTGCATTCCTGGAAGCTGCAAGACACCCAACATTGTATTTAAAAACAGGCTCCCACCA